GCAATTTTATCAACTAAATAGCTTAATCGCTCAAGAGCTACATTATCTTTCTCAACAAGGAGCTGGTAACATCGTTGTTTCTAAAGGAATTAAAGCCACAGCTTCACTGTTTTTTTATTTTATTTTATTTAGTCATTTATCAGACGCTTTTATCCAAAGCGACTTACCGTTAATAGAGAAACGCCACAAAACGGTGGTAATTCATACATACACAGCCTCTCTCTCTCTCATAAATGAACACTTGATAAATTACACTTTTCTGAGAATAGAATATTGAAGTGGAGATCGCTAAATTGCAAGCTTACCTGTGTTTTCAGAAAGCAAGCGTTTATCCACAGTGGAGAGAGAGCGCGCGTACACATGGTTGCCAGGTTGACCAAGATAAGTAGCAAACTTAGCAGATATTTCCGTATTGCGCAAGTGGGAAGCTCTGTTTCGGGGATTACGTCTCTTTATATCAGGCAACCCAGTTGTGTTCCTCTGCGGCCAGATTAAACCTTGTCTATATATTATGCTCTATTCATTATTTTTTAGAAACCTCTCACTTTTCTGCTCAATTTTAAACATTGTTCTTGTATTCAAATTAAGCGCGGTCCACTGCTGCACACGTGCCACAATATCGATACAGGGCCAGCTATATCGATACTCGTATCGTCAAATCTCTGTGACGATACATCGTCGTATCGAACACAGCACTAGTTACTACGCAACTTTTCTTTTAGTCTTCGTAATTTTGAATCAGTATCACAATTTCAGCAGTGCCACATGTAGCTCTATTTAAGATTCCCCCCCCCCTGCTTTAGTTAGTTTTATATTTTACTGTCACCACATCTACAGCTGATGCTAATTTGTTAGGCCATTTCTTATCTTATCTTATCCTATCATCTTATATTATCTCAACTTATTTATTTTATTTTATTTTGCTGTTATTGGGTTACGTACATTTGTTGTTGTTTTGTGTTTGTTAATTATAGCAGATATGTGCAAAGTTCAAGTCAAGACCACCAGACAAACTTTGAAGGTTTCATATTAACCAGATGATAAGATCAGATCATGTTAATATGGTTGAACACTGGAAACACGAGACTCAGCATTGTGCTCACTGACCTTTAGACTGTGAAGCTAGAAGAAAACTACATCAACACAAGCCATTATTCTTATTTCAATTTCATGTTTTTTTTTCATAATATTTTGTTCATTTTGTTCAATGTCTTTGTGTGTGTGTGTGTGTGTGTGTGTGTGTGTGTGTGTGTGTGTGTGTGTGTTTGTGCCTAAACAGGCATCACTTTTAGTGATGCACATATCATCCACAATAATAATCTCAACCACCCAGAATGCTCTCACCTTGCACCATTTGTACTATCATCATGAATGTTATGCCAAATGTTATGCTTCTTACAGTGAAGTGTTCTGTTAGTTTTCATCAGTGTAGATTCACAGGAATGTATAGAGGCTGACTCCAACATCCTGGCAGCTAGTTTTGCACATTAAACAATTGGCTGTATGAAGGATACGGTAAATTAAGTAAAGAATTGAAACATTCAGCTTTTGTTAGCACCCATTATTGTTAATACAACCGTTAGATGATTTGATGAATCAGCCTTGAGTTCTAAACTAGTTAATTACCAGAATTAAGTCGTTGATACGATAGTACTCTAAATATGATCATCAAGACATATAATGTCACTTTTGATGATAATATAAGTATCATCATTCCATTTTTAGAGACGGGACATAGACATGTGATTTGAAAGGCACTTAATGGCAGACGCAGAGCTGTACAGTTATATAATACATGCTCATTTTTAATCTCTTCTGTCAATTATTGATGAAGCAAAATGCAAGTTATTAATCATAAGAGGTTTTAAGGCTGATTTGATGGGTTGAGTATATTCTTTTGATTTGAGGGTTCCTGTAGTACAATGCTGGTCCCAGGATATGCATGAAGTGCTAAAATGCGTTTCATAAATGCACTGTATGCCACTTCAGATAAAAGTGTCTACCAAACGCACAAAGGTAATCGTTAATCGTTAAGTTACTGTAAAGC